ATATATATATATATATATATATATATATATATATATATATAGGGGCATATCAAGGTTCTGGAGTGGCCTAGCCAGTCTCTAGACCTAAACCCTATAGAACATTTTTGGAGAGAACTCAAACTCCGTGTTTCTCAGCAACAGCCAAGAAACCTGGCTGATCTGGAGAAGATCTGTGTGGAGGAATGGGTCAGAATCCTGCTGTAGTGTGTGCAGACCTGGTGAAAAACTACAGGAAACGTTTGACCTATGTAACTGCAAACAAAGGCTACTGTACCAAATATTAACATTGACTTTCACAGGTGTTCAAATACTTATTTGCAGCAGTAACACACAAATAAATTATTTAAAAAATCATACATTGTGGTTTACAGATTTTAATTTTTTTTTAGATTATGTCTCTCACGGTGGACATGCACCTAAGATGAAAATTTCAGACCCCTCCATGATTTCTAAGTGGGAGAACTTGCAAAGTCACAGGGTGTTCAAATACTTATTTTCCTCACTGTAGACGCACGTTACTTTAGCCATGTAGAATAATAGACGTCAGTGAATAATAATCAGTGCAGTGAAACAGTTTGCTTCATCTTGTCTTCAGGGACTGAAAAATGTAGTTTATGAAAACAAGCCTTTTTCATTTAATCTAAATTACTCTTAAAGTGTATGGGGTTCAAGGGAGCAAGTAGTTTTACAACAAGACTTTGTGTTTCCTCTTTGATCATGTCTTTCAGATGAATATCAGAGCATAGTTTTATATTAAATAATTGTATTTTTAACTACAGTTCTTTTTTAGGGCCAGCAGATCATAGTCTTTCAATCCTTGTTTAAAGTCTTATCCTTTCAGAAGAGACTCTTGATTTGCTATTCTTTAGTAAAATGCATATTAAAGAAAGAAATCCTCAAATGTCAGTTTGAGAAAGATTATTTTTTAACCTTTTACTGACCAGTACTATGAAAAAAGTATTTTTAAAAACTCTTTACATATTCCATGATTTTACTGATGTGTCAGAAAGAACTAGATGTATAATATTCCTTCGACTGTATTTTTCTTTTTACGGCTTTTTGTTGCTAAATATATTCTAAACATTTTTCCTAGATGTTTTTTTTTTCAGTTAGCCAAACCAGTTGTAGGTATTAAATTTAAAAATATGTTTTAATAATAAAAAAATAAAAAAGAGCAATTTGACGAGCGGTCTGTGTACTTTCTTCAAAAAAATAAAAATTTAAAGACAACAAATTAGCTAATATTACCATGTAGATTTTAAATTATGTACTAAAACCTGTATTTGAAAGAACTTTACACACTGCTGCATTTATATAAGAAACAGGGTTATACATATAAGCTTTGAAAAAACTTATTAGAAAAAGACACATATGGTGGACTGCACAGTGAAACAGATTTGATATATTCTCAATTTCATATTTTTATTACAGTATACAACCGTATAATTGAGGCAATTTATTAAGAAAGTCGTGTGAGAGATGGATATATTGTGTTTAACATTACTTAAAATATTTACAGAGCCCAGGCTTATAAATCTGAAAGCCATGCAGCTTTTAGAATACTTTATGATGAATAGGAAAACTAGGTAAGTGATGCACCAAATACATTATGCTGAAGAGCTGCAAATGTTGTCAAGCTATAAGTTAATAGACACAGCATGCAGCGTACAATAAATCACACCATGCTAGTCTATCATATAAAAACCTGTCATGTTGCGTGCAGCTTACCTTCTGCCACACATAGGCCTCGTGCAGCGTTAAGATCTCATGCTCCTTGTGCTCACCCTGCACAGCACACACCACACAGATTATTTGCTCGTCAGCTTTACAATAGAGGGAGCCTTCCTCTCTGTGCTCCTTGCAGCGTAGCCTTTCTACTGTCACAGTGTCCCTCTTCCCTGCCTCTTCAGGACCCACGACCTCAGGTCCTGCTTCTGCATTCTCAGCCCCTTCGCAGGCCTCGACTTCCTGAGGTGAACAACTGTGAGCATCTTCAGCATCTCCACTCTCTCCTCTGTTAGCCAGAGTTGCGTCTCCCTGATCTGCACACGTTTCAACCGCTCTATTTCCTCCAGGTTCATTCTCAGCCTGCCCTCCAGTTCTGGAGTCTCTGTCCGTGTCCAGACTTGTAGGCTGTGTCTCTTCGTGGCTGTAAGGCATTAACATGTGACGTGTGCTGCTGGCGTGGTTGTCAGCGTGGACAGGGCAGAAGGCAAAGCTGCAGGTGTGGCACACTTGCGTCGCTGGCTGGGCCTCATCTGGCTCACATGCGTCACATGAACCGTCCATCTGTGGCAGCTCCTCTTGTTTCAGACCCATGGCTCCTTCCAGAGGTTGCCATTTATGATCCATACCAGCTGAAAAGGTCTGGGAATCAATCTAGTGTTGAAAAAAAAAAAAAAGAACAGAGGACATAACAACTGTGATCTTCAATTAATGCTTTTTATTTCTGATTAAAGCAGAAAGTCCAAAATGTTCTACAATGAAGGCTGATTTAATGTTCCCACATTAGATCATATGGAAGCTAAAATCCTCAGCGAACAACACGCAGCGCAGCACTTTAATAAAAGCCCAACAAAGTTCAGTCAGGTCATCTAAATGTTTTTTGAGATGTTTCATCCTTCATCCAAAGGACTTCATCAGTCCAAGAAGCCACAACAAACTCAGTCCCACGAGCAGCACACTCACATAGTGGACCAACCAGTTTCATGGTGATAAGATGGTTTCTGGGGCCCGCCCTCTCTCCTCATCGACTCCTCTGAGGCAGCCATAGCCAAAGTGGTTCAAACCATCAAAGTTCATGCTCAGGAATCCAAGTAAAAAAAAAAATATTCCAATGTTCAGTCAGGTCATCTGACAGTTTATTTATTTTTTGTTGTTGTTGAGACGTTTCGTCCTTCGTCCATCAGTCCGAGGAGCCACAACAAACTGATGAAGTCCTTTGGATGATGGGCGAAACATCTTAACAACAAAAATGAGAAACCATCCAGATGACCTGACTGAACTTTGCTGGATTTTTTTTTTACCTGGATCATTGAGCGTGAACTTTAATACCTTAATAAAAGCTAAAAACAAAGCTTCATTATGCAAGAGCTTTGAACAGGAAGACTGCAAAAAGTTGCTGAACTGCTTCTTCTACTTTTACTGTTTACTGACTTACAAAAGTGTGTGAACTCATAAAACCCTATGAGGCTCTGACCTCAGACACTTCTTCTTTTTTCTTTGTGCTTTGAATTTTTGTGAACTCGTCTTTTCATACCCTCAACAGGGAAACAGAAAACAGTCCACTGTGTGCCTCTCTCATTTAATCTCGTCTTTGGTGCTGCACAGTTTGTATGCTCTTACCCAAAACAGGGAACTTCCTGTTCTGTCACCCTTCTGGGTCCTGTTTCTAACATGTTCGCACCATGATAGTCCACACGAATACAAAGACGTCCTCCCTCACAGTGCAGGTGTTCAGCGAGTACTTACTTGTCTGTTTGCCGGGGTAGTTTAAGATCTGTTATGAAGTCTGTGAGAATTAGCTTGACGGCTAACTTCCTTAGCAGCGCTGTTGTTGTTTACAGTTCAGTTACGAAGCAGTCGGTTTAACTACTTTCACTTCCAGACAGAATAAAGAGCTCCCAAAACAAGCCCAACAACGTTTACTTCCTTGTTTATTATCAGCTGCTGCATGCTTCTTCTTCTTTCTTTTTTTTTTCTTTTACTTCCTGTCTGTAATTTTCGGAGCGTGTGAAAGCGACAGAGACACACAGAGGCGGGGAGGGAAACTTCGTCTGACAGCAACAACTTGAAGGACACATGAGGACACATGAGGACAGCTGAAAAACTCTCAGCAGGTTTGTACAGTTTTAGTGTAGTCGACATAAAGTCTCAAAAACAAGATGAACAGTTTTAGCCTCTTGGCTGCAAAATAAATGCACTACTAAAGTCCATGCTCAGTAATCCAGGTATACAATCCAACAAATTTCAGTGCAGGTCATCTGGACAGTTTCTTTATTATTTTTTTTGTGCTGAAACGTTTCACCTTCAATCCAGAAGACTTCATCAGTCAAGGAAACACACAACACAAAACTGATTCTTCCCCCAACAGCTTATTCCAAAGTGGAACAAACCAGTTATGTTGGTGCTCAGATGGTCTCTTTGGCACGTCCCCTTCTCCGGTGCCGGCCCTCTTCCTCGTCAACAGTCATGTCAAACTGGTTCAAAACCAACAAAGTCCATGCGCAATAATCCAGGTATACAATCCAACAATTTTCAGTCAGGTCATCTGGACAATTTCTTTTTTTTTTTCTTTTCAAAGAGACCATCTTAGCACCAACATAACTGGTTTGTTCCACTTTGGAGTAAGTTGTTAGTGGAAGAATCAGTTTTGTGTTGTGTGTTTCCTTGATTGATGAAGTCTTCTGGATGGAAGGTGAAATGTTTCAGCACACACAAAAAAAAAGAAACTGTCCAGATGACCTGACTGAAAATTGTTGAAGTGCACTAATAATTTATTTGTTTTTAATTTATACCCCCTCCCCACCCAAAAAAAAAAAAAAAAAATAGCCACAGAAAAAAGTTAACGATAAGAAATGTAAGTGATGAAAATACACAAACATTTGTTTTTGTCTCTTACATTTTTTACACATGACCAATGCTCGAAGTTAGTATTTTGCAATGCTATGGTCTAGATCAGTGGTCTCAAATTTGGTTCCCCAGACCCCCGGGGGTCCATGAGCAGGTGCTTGGGGGGTTGCAATATATATATATATATATATATATATATGTATATATATATTTTTTTTTGTACAAGCATGTAGATGTTTAATAACCAATTAAAAAACACCTAAAATGCTGGACATTGCATCTACTTTATTCTAAATTTTTTGGGAGACCCCCCCGCACCACCCTGCTGGCCCGCCTACTATATTTGTTCTGTCATCGATCAGTTTACAAATTAAGCCCTGTTACTTGGCATGACTGTTATGATTCTATTCAGTTTTATGTAAAAAGATTTGTCTGTAATAATTTGAAAAAAGTGGCAATACATTTATTATTATTCATTATTTAAATAGGTAAAGTCTTAAAGCGGTTTTTGATACAGTTAATTTGATCAAAACTGTAATTTTTGGAAGTTGAAATTAAAACAAAATGTTAACTGAGTGTGTCTTGAATGAAAACTAACCCACATATAAAAGTATAAAATTGCATTAACAATATTAAAGAACAGGTCTTAAGAATTTATATTACAAATATTTCCATTGCATTAAAGAGACAAATTGAAAAAATAAAAAAATAAATATAGTATGCAGTTTATCTTCCATCCATCCATCCAGCCATCCAGCCATCTAACCATCCAGCCGTTATCTTTACTGGCTTCACCCTTTTTGGGTCGCAGGGCTCACTTGTGTCCATATCCAGCTATCACTGTGCGAAAGGCGGGGGACACCCTGGACAGGTCTCGAGTCCATCACAGGGACACATAGAGACAAACGAGACAAACCATTCACTCTCTCACTCACACCTAGGGATTATATCTGGCGACCTTCTCACTGAGAGGCAACAGCTCTACCAACAGAGCCACAAACCGCCCGTAGTTCATTATTTTTTGCTAATGTCTCTTGTTCTCCGGGCAGAAACAGAAGGCGCTCTCACTGATTTTGTCTTCACTGTCTGTAGAGATGGCTGAACTCAGTGAAAGTCTCTGCAGGACAATATGTGATTGGTAAACATGCACACAGGAGAGGAGGTAGAGTTGGCTCCTGGCCAGCACAAGGTCTGGATGGTTGGATCAGATTTTCTGATGTTATGTAGATGTTCATATGAATAAAAACAAGCTGTTTTTTTTTTTAATTAGTGCATGTAAATTAAATTCTGTTTCAATTCAGTTTATTTATATAGCGCCAAGTCACAACAGAAGTAAATGACACAACTATCATATCTGGGCTTTTTGAAATAATTAATGTATATCTGGCAACGCTGGTTGAGAAGCGATGACGTTATAGCTGCTTTGGTCAAACCTTGTAAACAATGTTATGCTGAACATCATGGGATATTGACATCTCACAAGGTGTGATAGCGTTCAGTATATGAGCTGAGGATGACTCTCTACCATTACTACATCAAATTTATGGCTTAATAGCTGTAAAACTGCATGAGTTAGATCTATTTATTTGTTGTGGTCATCTTGAATGCATGCAAAATTTAACTAGTTGTAACATACAGCCGATGCTTTTCTCTGATAGTTTCACTAAGAACCATACAATGGTTCGTGAAACGTTTAGTTACAGACAAGCAAAAATACAGATACACACACAGAGAAGCAGACACACCATTATTGCCCTTTCTTTTTATTTCCTTTGGTAGAGGACGATAAAAATCGTCCCAGAAAATATGCAGCCTTTTTTTTTTCTGTAGAAATGCAGTAGGGTCCACCCTTATGAATGTATATTTAATCAGTTCAAGAGGAACATGTTGAAATGAAAGATTACTAAAACCACAGGGATTCATTTTTCTATTGGGGGTGAATATTATGCTGCAGAGAAATACATGTTTTAAAAACAGATTTGTAGTAATTAACCCAAGGACACGAACCCATTGTTAGTGAACACAGCTTATATCTACATTCACAAATACTGGCTCTTATCCTGAAAAGAAAAGAAAAAAGAGAAAGAAAAAAAATGTTAATTGATGCCATTCAGAAATACTTTCTTTCTTAGTCTTAATTGAAGACATGCATGTTTTTATTGGAATTTATTGATATCACTTTCTTCATGCTATAAAATGAGCATCGTTAAGTTTGTTATCAGTGCACAGTTCAAATGCCAGCATCACAGTGTCAATGTGTATTTACTGCATAATTCATAGGTATTTTCACACCACTGAGAGAACCAATAATGCTGAATGACGCATACAGGTTTTTGGAGCAACAAAATACAAGTATTGTGAATATGTTTTTGGAATATTTCTTTCTAGATTCTGCATCCAGTAATCTGTATCTGTTAGTAGGACATACATGTCCAAATGTTCTTCTTGCAGTTCAGACCTTTCACTCACTTAAAATGTATGTAGAAAATTTGTATTTTTTTCAACATACTGCGTTTGGTTTCCTCCATTACTAAAATAAACAGAATATTGCTTAAAAATATAAAGATTCAACTGATCATCTTGCTATAAATAATGACTGTTAAACTTTCTGAGTAGTTTTAAATAGGTCCAGTCTAATAAAAATGTTTGCACCTGCAGAAACACATTATGTGGCTAAAATAATTTATTCATATTGTGGATATTTTAGTCACAAAAATTGTTAATTTTTTTTTGCAGTATTTTATACATTTACAATGTGTGGTGAATAGAATCCTGTTTATCGATGAGGCTTTATTCAAACACTTTGAATTTATTTAGAGATTTGAAACTTCTCACCAAAAAATGGTACGATTAGTATAATGACGTTTGATGGCTAAACGAACGTCACTGAGATTTTTGGTAAATTTAATAAAAGTTAGAGATTTTTCATTGAAGTATTTTTGCTTTGTTGTGCTGCTGCTATTGATATTTGTCCATACAAACTTGTTAAAAAATAGCAGTGATTCTAATTAGGGCTCCAGGAAACAAAGAAAGCACCAAATGTCCCATGAAAATGCAGACTAAATAAATTAAAACATTGTGGGTTTATTAACACTATACTATAACTATGTTTATTTTAAAATACTGCAAAACAGTGTCACTTTGTAAATGCTTGTTCGAGTATTTAACAAAGCGAGTACACAAATGAGACACGGGTTATTGTATTCACATGAGAACAAAAGAGTAAGATCAAATGAAAAGGCCTCAGCTGAAACAGTAAAGTGTGTGTTTTAATAGAAACATTAATGGAGAATTTTTAATAATTATATCAGCTTTCCCCTTCTGTTCCTCGTAAAACCCCACAAAGAGACAATAGAGCAGGATTAAGAGGTCTGGAGAGAGATCCAGAGAAAAGAGGAAAAACAAACTGTTCTCTGTAGAGAGAGCTATTGAACCGGGCTTCTCACAAGCAAATATGTATTGACTTGTAGTCTGATTTGAATGGCGTGCCATAAATATCCATTGACCATGCTCCAAGAAAGCCTCCAGCAGCCCCCTGAATGAACGATGATGCTGTTTTTATGCCATTTTGAGGAGGAATTTTCTTATTGAAAGATTGTAACTTGACATTATGTATTATATAGCTATAAACAAAAAGATGATTCAGTGGCAACATATCGACGAGCAAAAATCTCTGGTGTTGCTCTTAAGCCTTGCTGATGTAGTTATTAAAACTGGAACTGCATTCAATCCTAACAAACGCATCTGTTAGGATGCTAGAAGTGCAACTAGCTTGTACTTGTGATTAACAAATGGTTCCACCACACAAACACCAGTGAGATCGCACTTCTGAAGCACCACCGTGGTCGGTGTGAATTTAAACGGTCATCTGTCTCGTTTCATCGTCTTCCACTGCGCTGCATTCTCCTGCATAGTAAAAGGACAGCATCATTTTGCATTCTGCATAAAACTGAAAACAATTAAAAGGCTCATTGACTCGCAGTTCATTACAATAAGCACTCAATATGAATGCAATATGTGGCTACTGGTACAGTGATCTGTTTTTTCCTCTACAGGGGAAATTTAGTGAAACAAAATGTGGCACGCAGTTAGAGATAAATTTGTTTACCTAAATGGTGTTTCTGCAGTACAGAGACCGCTGTGCATGGATGCTGGCAACACAAAGAACATCAAGCTTTTAGAA